TTCATGGCATACGCACCAGGATGCAGCTACATGCTCTGCTTCACAGGTCGAAAGAGTTACAATGAGTTGCTTTCTTGACAGCCAGGTGAAAGCAGTATTTCCCATGAAAAATATATATCCTGAAGTGCTCTTTCGATCATCAATGTCACCACACCAATCGTTGTCAGAGTAGTCAGTCAGCTTGTATTCTTCTGCTTTCGAATAGAACATCCAAGTGACACAGTTCCTTGGACATATCGAAGGATTCTCTTCAGAGATTTCCAGTGTGCAACAACTGGTTCTTCCATGAAGGGACTCACAATTCCAACACTCAATGAAAGATCTGACCTTGTGCATGTGAGGTATCGAAGACTTCCCACCAAGCTTCAAAATTTGTTTGCTTCGACACGCTCTCCCCCGTCAAATTTCGAAAGCTTTGCTCCCGACTCCATTGGTGTCGAAATAGGATTGCAGCTATCCATCTTAAATATTTTCAAGATGTCTTTCGCATACTTTTCTTGTGAGATGAAGATTCCTGTTTCTTCCTATTGAACCTCCAGACCAAGAAAGTATTTCATCAGGCCTAGGTCAGTCATCTCAAATTCTTTTGTCATTGTGCCTTTGAACTCTTCGATCATCTGATTGTTGTTGCCCAAGAAAATCAAATCATCAACATAGAGAGCAACAAGCAGTATTTTCTCTTTTTTCTTTTTCACATACAAGGCATGTTCGAAAGGACATTGCTGAAATCCATTTTCTTTGAAGTATGTGTCAATTCGAGTATTCCATGCTAGTGGTGCCTGCTTCAGCCCATAAAGTTCCTTATTCAGCTTTAGCACCTTTCCTTCATTTTCAATTTTCATGAATCCAGGGGGTTGTTTGATATAAACTTCTTCTTCGAGCACGCCATTCAGAAAGGCTGACCTTGACATCCATCTGATGTATTTTCCATTTGTATTGAGCAGCTTGAGATATGAGCAGTCGAATAGTCTCCATTCTCGCAAGAGGTGCGGAGACTTCATCATAATCGATTCCAGCTTTCTGCCTGTATCCTTTCGCCATAAGTCGCGCCTTGAATCTTTCGATTTCACCTTGTGCATTTATCTTTTTCTTAAACACCCATTTCACACCAATTATTTGACTTCCTATTGGTAACTCAGCTAGTTCCCAAGTATCATTGCGTCTGATAGCCTTAATTTCTTCATTCATAGCATCCTTCCAATTTTTGTTTCTCATTGCTTCTTCGAAGCTGACATCTTCAGTGTCTGCCAATAAACATACAAGATGCATTTCTTCTGTATTTTCATACAAGTCTTGTAAGCTTCGCAACCTGGGCTGTGAGGGTCCTTCTTCATCATCAAAGTCTTTTGGATCTGTCGAAGTGTCTTTCGATATAGCATCTGGTACTTCGACCACAACCTCATTCGAATTGTCTCAGTCCCACTTGCTTCCTTCGTTTACTCGAACATCTCTACTGACTATCACTTTTTTGTTTATTGAATCGAAGAGTCTGTAACCTTTCATTTTTTTCATCATACCCAATGAGTATGTATTTCTGACTCTTATCTTCCAGCTTTGTTCTTCTTTGATCAGGCACATGTGCATAAGCCACACTTCCAAACACTTTGAAGTGAGACACAGTTGGCTTTCGACCACTCCAAGCTTCTTGAGGTGTTAAATCTTCCAGCTTCGAATTTGGACATCTATTTTGAACGTAGATTGCACAGTGTACAGCTTCTGCCCAAAACTCCTTAGACATGATTTTGCTCTTCAGCATTGATCGAACCATGTCAAGGACTGTTCGATTCTTTCTTTCTGTTACACCATTTTGTTGGGGTGAGTAATCTGCAGTCAGGAATCTTCTTATGCCTTGCTCTTCACAGTACTTCATAAAGGTTGTCGAAGTATATTCTCCGCCTCTGTCTGGTCGAAGGGCTTTGATGTGTTTGTCTGTTGCTTTTTCAACCATTATCTTAAACTTCTTGAATACTTCAAAGGCTTCAGACTTTTCTTTCAGAAAATACACCCAAGTTTTCCTTGAAAAATCATCAATGAAGGATATGAAGTACTTTTTGCCACTGAAGGATTCTGGGGTAATTGGTCCACATATGTCAGTGTGGATCAATTCCAGAATTTGTTTCGCCTAATATTCTGCCCTCCTTGGGAATGAAGTTTTCGTCTGTTTTCCAAACACACATTCTTCACAGAATTTTCCTTCGAATTCTACACCTAGCAGTCCATGCACCATATTTTTCTTTGCTAACCTCCTTAGTCCAGCCTGGTGTAGATGACCAAATCGAAGATGCCACGGGAATGCTTGGTCTTTGATATTGACATGCAAACACTTTTTTCGAATGCTTCTCAAATTCAACTTATACATTCTATTCCTTTCCATTTCGACTTGAGCAACCAGATGTCTTAACTTGTCTTTTAAATGCAGGCTTCGATCTTCCATGAGAATCGAATAACCCTTTTCAGTGAGTTGTCCCAGACTCAAAATATTTGCTTTGAGGTTTAGTATATAGTACACGTCTTGGATTGATCCTATCAAATCATTCTTCTGTAAGAAACTGATTGTTCCTTTTCCTTCGACTCTTACTTTCGACGCATCTCCAAACAAAACATGATCGTCTTCGATTTTCTTTATGTCTTTGAACAAATGCTTATGACCACACATATGGTTGCTTGCTCCTGAGTCCAGGTACCACATAGTGTCATTTTCTGCATCTGCTTCCTTTTGAGTCATTAACATAAATCCTTCATTCGATTTTATTTCTAGGGCAAGATTTGTTGTTTCTTCTACCTTTCTTCTGAATCGACAATCTTTTGCAAGATGTCCCGTTTTATCACAGTTGTAGCAAATGTAGGAGTTACAATCTTTCGCGTGGTGCCCCTGTTTGTTGCATTTGTAACATTTGATGTTGTTGTAATTCGATCTACCACCTCTCTGGCCACGTCCTCTGCCACGCCAGTTTTGTTGGCTTGATTGTCCTCTGTCGAAGTTGTTATTTTGGTAACTTCGACCACCATTACGTCCTCCACAACCATGTCCTCTCCCACGCCAATTGAGAGAAAAGTGCCTTTTCATCTCTGTTGGGTTCTGCATCCTCAAGTACCTCCTTCTTCTTCTTTATTTTGCGCTGTTAATAAGCCTCAAGCGAACCAGCGACTTCTTCGACAGTGATTGTTGAAAGGCCCTTCGCCTCTTCTATTACGCATACTATGTTTTCAAACCTATTTGTCAAAGATCTCAGAATCTTTTCGACAATATGAGCATCAGATGTTGCTTCTCCATTTCGATTGAGTTGATTTGGCACCGTCTGCACATGAGTAATGTAGTCTGATACGGACTTTGTCTCCTTCATCTTCATTCTCTCCATTTCTCCTCAAAGAGTTTGCAAGCGAACTTGCTTGACTCTATCTGCTCCTCTAAAGGCCTTTTCTAGTGTGTCTCACGCCTCATTCGACGTAGTCGAACCAGCAATCTTTTCGAAGGTTGATTCATCAACTGCTCTGAACAACATGTACAATGTTGTTTTGTCCCTTGCTCGCGTTTCTTTCAACGCCTTGTTCTGAGCAGCTGTGTATGTCGTCGTATTTGATGGTTCTTCAAACCCATCGTTAGTCACTTTCCATACATCTAACTATTCCAGCAACGCCTTCATCTGGATACTCCAATTTTCATAGTTCGACTTTGAAAGTCGTGACAGTGGCATCTGACCCGTCATATTTGTCATGCGCTCTGATACCAATTTGAAGAAATATGAAGAAAATAAGAGTGGACTATGAACTTACTTTTCTTTATAAATTTTGTCCAACTGACTTTCAATATGAGATACAATGTGATTTATATAAGATCACAATATAAAATATGAAAAATTTACAGCAATAACTATGTCTAAGTCCCTAAAGAATAAATTTCTCACTATCCAAAAAAATTTGACTTTTGATTTACTCACGACTGATTTGAATTTAACCAACAATCTGAAAGCTGAAAAGCTTGTAAAATAAAAATTTATAAGGACTCACAAGTTGAAAGAGGATGGATGGTTTGTAACATTAAAATTTATAGTAGCTTTTTGAAGGAAACTAGGGTTTCCCATATCCAACCTTTAGGCACATTTTGATGAGCATCAATCATATCACCATCTTAAACTCAAAGTACTCTGCTGCTACCTTTTTTGCAAAAGAAAACGAAAACGAAAAGCCAATAACTTTTGATAAAAAGGTAAAAGGTCTTCATAGGTCCATGAATTTAGGAGTATACAAACAAACAAACAAACTCTACTAGTACTTCCCAAATGTTCTAAACAATATTACACCATTTCAGACCAACTCCGATAGAACAAACACATTTAACCATTATTCTGATATACTTCAAAAAGGGTAAATAAATCTTTTGACCAACAAACTTACAATCTTTGAAACAAACTAAACAATGCATAGCAAGTAGGAGCAGCAACCACAGAAACTACTCAGTTTATTTGACTTGATAGGTAAAAAATATATATGCCATATATTCAGGCGCTGACCAAACAATGTATCACAAATTAGTGTATATTTTGTTTAGATGGGACAAACAACAGCGACATAACCAAAAAAGGCACAAGCAAATATGACATAAGATAATATTATATAGTTATATTCCCCCAAGTTAAGCATTGCTAGTAGTATACAAAAGCATGGTAGGGCAAAAAAGCTACCGAGTATAAACCCTACAAGTACAAACAAACATCATATCCAACTTCATTTCCCTACAAACATAAACAGCAGACAATAGATTGAACCGAACCGAAATCCTCCTAGCTGCTTAGACGCTTAGTTATCCACAAGAAGGGTGGATCCCACCACACAACCCTCCCTTTGAAGGGATAAAGTGGCCAAGCTCCACCCAACTATATCGTGGAATAGTGTCAATTACACACAACAAAATACTTAACCGAACAAGTCCATACCCTAATTAACACCATCGTGTCTTCGTTTAACTACATCCTAGTACACATGAAACGATTAAGAAAGAACTAGTGAGACTTGTAGAGAAGCCTCCCCAGTGTCCGTTGGTTTCCTGTCATTTCACCATCCCGAGGTGGACTAAAGCACAATGGCAGAACTTCCTCGGACTTGCAGGGAAAATTCACACTAAAGAAGTGTTTCTCCAGTTTCTCTTTTCCCTACATAATCAACCATCCATATAAGAAAGAGATGTTATAATGACATTTAAAACGACACCTACACCGTATGTTATAATATGTCTTGAAATGTGTTACGAGTTAAAATGAACTGTAAAACTAAGGTGTTAGGCATACGGTGTCGAAAATAAATGTCCAAATATCATTGCTGTAATAAGAAAAGTTAAATAAATTACTACCGTAGAATAATTAGGGCAAAAATATAGAAACAGTTTACTATTAGAGTATAATGATTAGGTCTAGTATGCAATTGCAAAGCATACCTGGAGGCGTGCGGCAACGACATCACGTATCTTGTGGGAAAGGAACAATTCCCATTTCTGATTCGATGCTGTCACAAGAAATCTCCAAGCTGCACTAGCCTTTGTGAAATTTACAAAAGCGTATCCTTTGTTCAAACCAGTTCTGCAAATTTATAAACCACACAATCCTGAATCCTCATCATTATTATAAGAGGTGTATGAATAAAGAAAGTTCTAGAGAGAGAATTTTGTAGGGTACCTGAAATCTATCGGCAAATAGACAAAATCGAAGGCGAGAGTGTTTTCTTGTCCATTCTCTTGATCTTTAGCATTTTCAACCATGCAATGGTTCTCCAAGAACTTGACTATCATGTCTCGACTGTGACCAAAAAACAAAAATAAACAAATTATGAACTAATAAGAGATTTAATAATGTCCTTAAGTCAAAAGAGTAAAGGTTCAATGAAGAAAGAAGCATACGTGTATTTGCTAGGAATGTTTTTGATCATAACAGTTGTTTCATCTCCATCGGGACGAACCGGAACCACAGGAAAACCGCTACCTTTATTCTTCCGGTCGGTGGAAGACGACCTAGAGTGTTGTAGTTCATGAATATTAACATGTTTTCTGTTCTTATGTTCAGGTTCTTTTTCAGCAACAGCTACTTCCTTCTTCCTCCACGCAAGCTTTGGGATTCTCAATCCATGAGAACGACGGTCTTCAAAAACCTGTTTAGAATCAGTACCATCCACCGCAATTTCTTTCTTCATAAGTTTAGATGGTGGAAAAGTGGGAGTTGCGGTGGTGAGAGGGTGGTTTGCATGAAAGCGAAAGGAAAAGTAAGTTGTTGAGTGAAAATGATGTTTTGTGGCAGTGGGATGGTAATAGAAAAAAGGGTCAGAAGGTGGATGTGTGAGAGGTGTGAAAGTGAGGAATGGAGGGCATAGTTTTTGAACTTGGTAGCTTGGGTGAAATTCGGGAGCTTTTGCGTTTAAACCTGAAGAAACTACTAAGGAAGCCATTGGAGAAGCGAAGGATATAGCTTTTGGTAATGAGTACTATATGCGTGAATGCAGGGGCTCTGACTGTAGTGGAACTCAATCCCTATATTTATAGAGATTGATAGAGTTTTCCTAACTATGACAATGAAATGAAAGAAAAAGAAAGAATAGAGTTTAATATTTCGCTTATAATTTGTATAAAGAAAATGAGAAAAATAGTGATATATTTTATTCTCTCAACACAATCTTGTAATAAAATAAATTATATTTTAATTTTAAAATTCTTTAAATAATAAAACAGTTTATTAACTTTTTATGACAGTGTAAAACAATTTAAATTAAACCCAAAAAAGTTATATGTTTTTTATTTATTTATAAGTTGGAACGAAGGAAAGGAAGTATATTTATCCAAATAAAATGAAAACTAATGTTCTTGAGCACAACTTTTCCTTTCTCACACAATGCTCTATGTATTAGTGAAGAAATTGTATAAAGAAAACGGATAATGATGTTTTAAGATCAAATTGATTGATTTAATAAATAAAATAATATTTTTATATTATTATCATTACATTTATGTTTTGAACAAAATTTTGAAATTGTTAATTTTTGTAATTTAGGTTTATTAAGTTTTGTAATTTTAAATATATTACTATAGATTAAAATGTGGAATAAGCGAATAAAAATAATTAGTTTTTAAAAAATAAATAAATATTAATATTAATAATTTATTAAAATTGTAAAATAATTTATAATTTAATATATGTTTTAAAAAAAATTTATAACTTAATATAGAGGAAGAATTATTTTTTATAATTAAACGAACCAATTTTTAATTTCTCTTTAAAAAAACTAGTTTAATGTAATTAATTTGTTTTTAAGAAAGTAAAAATTATTGTACAAGCGAGCTATTCATCAAGATAGTTAATTAGGTTCCTATTATATAAAAATAATAAGTTTTTAATCTCTATTTTTAGCTTAAATCTATAATATAAGAAAATTCATTATATCTATTCTGACAATTTTGTCATTTTATTTTAAAAATACTTCACGTGACTATCTTCATTGGTCTCTATTTCAGATTTCCATATTCTCCTAAACACTGCCACGATGCATTTGTATTCCTTGCCTCTCCAATAACTCCTATCCATATTAATTTTGTAATTGCTATCCATAACTCATCATGGCTACTATTCTGTAACCGTCTCCAAAACACTCTCATGGCTACCATTCTTTATATCCATCCATCTTCTAAATTCGAAACTATCTGGAGTAAATCCAAAACACCCTTAATGCTTATACATTATAAATACACCTGAGAAATCTTTTCTCTCTGTATCTTTTGTAAACCCAAATACTTTTTCCTCTCTATTTCTGAAAATCGTGATTTCCTTTTTGTATCTTTTATAAATCTAAATACTCTTTCCTCTCAGTTTCTGAAAATCACAGGGAAAGTGGCGAGTGTTGCTAGATGGGCAACAACTTATTCCTCCAGCCGACCAATTTTAGTGGTGGCAAGTAGAAGAATAAGAAGGTAATCCTAATTCGTCATTAATTTTTTCTTGATTATGAAATTTGTTACTTTAAGTGGTTTTTTTAATGTGTTTTGAGTTTTGAGTTTTGCTGGATCGTTACATATTTCAGAGAGAACTCATAATTCGTTACAAATTGGTGTTTTGAATTTACTGTCAAGACCTTATGGATGGGACCAGTTTTCATTGCTGCGATATATAATCTCTATGTGGACACATCCGAAGGAGAAGAAAACCTCACTCTAAACCTATCATGCCACCTGATGGCATCTTTTTGTCCAACTACCAAGGTTAGATTTTATACCAATATTGGGTATGCCTACTGCATTTAATACATAAGTATTTTAGTTTATTGTTAATTTAATACATGTACCGTTGTGGTTAAAATCGCTTTCACTCAGACCGACCGCTCAGAAAGCCATCTGACTTTATATTTTTTCATCATCTTCATTATTGTTATGTGTTGTTATGCTTCTTATTGGCTTTGAAGACGAAATAGAGACGACGAGCGCATGGTGGCGGCAAGATCAAATGGTGGTTGATATGAGACAAAGAGTACAATGGTGGCAGAAGGCGATGACAAGCAGTGGAATCATCAAGAAGAAGTGGCGACCACAAGTATACTGCTTATTTGTTTAGAAGAAGAATCAATCTTGCATTGTGAAATTGGTATGGAAAACATTTTTTAGTGTTGATTAAAAAAAGACATTTTCATCTTACTTTAAATCTATAATTTATATATTTATAAATATCTATATATTTTCATTATGCCAAACAATTGACGGTGGATGGAACAAAGGCTGCCACGAATGCTATTGAAGGAGAATATTCTAGTATTGTTAATTCGAGGCCATAACATATCGAAATATGGACAGACTGCTATTATTTTCAATGATTGTGATATATGATTTTGGTACAAAGTGTTGTTGACAGAATGTAGACTGCTATTATTTACTTTCGTGATTGACAACCTTGGATTCTTCATATTATTTAGGTTTAGAGGGTTTTGTTTTGTGTTTCTCATAATTTTGGTTTATTTTGTGATTATTTCTCGCATTAGGATTTGAAGAAGCGCCACGTAGCCTTATTTGATAGTGTGAAATTCACAGTCGAGTCCTTTTCTATTCAGCTTCTCAGTATGTTCTCACTATTTTCTGATTATAGATTCAGAATACTAAAACTCAATTCAGTTTTGTTGTTATCTATTTATAGGTTCTGAATACGAACTAAAAAAGTATCTGGATGAATATTCTTTGAGCGAAAGCGACTTTACCATGAAATAATAGAATTTAAGTGTAATATCTGAGTTTTCTGCAGATGCAGACCCTTACGTGTAATTGAAACGGGAAACACATCGATTGTCAATTTTGATTCGACTCTGCTCAATGAGCATCAAGTCATTAACTCAGATTCTTCCAAGAAGTCATTTAAATTTGATCATGTCTTTAAGCCTGAAGATAACCAAGGTATATTAGATTTTGTTGCATTAATGTATTTTGTTTTCATTCTAAGAGGTTGTTTTTTCACAAATTAAACATATTGCTACATCAATATTGGATGGTTTTAATGTTTGTCTATTTGCTTAATAACAAACCGGGACCGATAATACATTTATAATGGAGGGAACATCTGAAGAGAGGGAAGTTAACTACCGAACACTCGAAGAATTATTTAGGGTATAATGAAGTATAGTTGCATGTTAGTATGGTGGAAGCTTATAATTAGATGTTAAGAGATATTTTGGTGGAAAATTCTGTCCAATCAAAGAAGTGAGTTTTAATTCTACTTAGTAATCTAATTATTTTAGCTTGTATTTTTTTAGTTTAATTATTTTATAATTTTAAAATAGACAGTCATTTCACCTAATCTTAATAAACAAACAAAAAATTGAAAATGCCAATTAGAGAATACTTTGTTGGATAATGAGGCTGTGAGAAAAAGAAAACAATTATATTTTCATTTCTTTGTTATAAGTATGATGTAGAATATAAATTTTTCAATCTGTTCTGCATTTGAAATGAATTTTCCTAATGTAAAAATAATAAATGTCCAACATGCATAAAATTTTGTTGTATTATTTTTGGAGAGATATCAATGATAAGGAAAACAGATTTTAAACTTAAGATTGGAGATAAAGCAAGCTGCAGAAGGAACACAAGAAATCTCTAGACAACTCAAAATTATTTTTGCTCCTAATCAGTATACGAGAATTGTATTGTAGACATGATTTTTCCCTGATTTTTGACATGTAATTAATTTAGAACTATCAACAAGAATTCAAATGCTTTGTATTTTCAAAGAGGGAAGGTTCATTAGAAGAACTTTCGCTGCTACTTCGATCAGAAAGCAGAAGGTAAGTGAAAAGAAGGAGTAGACTAAGAACCTAAATTTAATTTTAGGAAAGTGTATCTATCAAATTAACATAGACAGAAATGAGAGGTTAGCGCATATGTAAACTCTCTTTTTGTTAAACAATACAGGTTAAGTAAACTCTAAATTTTTCTGATAATTTACGAGTTTATAATTTTAAGTTTAATTTAGACTTAAAATATAAAAATTTGGTACAAATTCGATACAAGTGAACTCTCAATTTTCGTGATAGTTATTTATGTATTCTAATATATATTGGCTTTAAAATGGATGCATATGATTTTAGTATTGTTCTTGACTGATAAATATTATACAATGATACGAGTTTGTTGTTTTTCTACAATTTCATTTATTTATTTTACAATTAAGTTTGGTCGTATAAAGCAAATATATTATAAAGATTACTAAAATGATGAATTGTTGTTGTTTTAATATCTATCGTATAACATTCTACTAGAATTATAAATTTTTTTAATTTATTTTGTTTGAAAGACTGATTACTAGCTATTATTATAAAATAAACATTAATTAATAATAATTACTATAATTTATTTACATAATTGTAATATTATTTACAAGTATTAAGTTTTAAAAAGAAATATAATATTGAAGTTAGTTGAACACCGGTATGTTCATTCAATTAAATGGAGATATTTAAAATCATATTAATATTTAATATTATTTTATTTTTAAAACATTAAATTAATTAAACTAAAGAGTACCTAATATTTTACTTTTATTTTTACAAATTAGAAATGAAGAAAAAGTTCATTAATATGTTAATCTATTAATTAAAAAATCATAAATAAGATATATATATATATATATATATATATATATATATATATATATATATATATATATATATATATATATATATATATATATATATATATATATATATATATATATATATATATATATATATATATATATATATATATATATATATATATATATATATATATATATATATATATATATATATATATATATATATTAAATAATCCTTTCATTGATATATATTATTAATAAAAAATATTATTTTTAAATTAATGCGTGAATCTTAATATATTTTTTTCAAATGAGAACAAGTTTTTTTTTTCAAATAACTTTCTAAAGAATGTTAAAATAAATAGAATATAAAATTTTAGAAAATATATATTTTATTTAAATATTTTTATATAAAAAAAATTATATTTATGATCTATATATATAAATCAAAATATGTTTTTCATAATAATTTTTTTTAGTAAATTAATTATTATTATTATTATTTTTACAATCTCTTATTATATTTTAAAAATAATTGCGTGGAACACATTTGTACTCATGTGAAAGTACGAATATAAAATAATTATAGTAAATTAATATTTAATTTATTTTAAAAATATGTCTTTCTTTTAAAAATAATATATTATTTTGATAAAATAATTTTATTTTTTAATTTATATTTTTGTTACTTTTTAAAAATAAAAATATGCGTACGACATTAGTACATGTATGAACGCACGAGTAATTTAACAATACCGTATTAACGTCCAGACTATAATTTTTACATTTTAATTCAAACTATTCTATTTTATTGATTTATTCTCTTTGTACAAACTAATAACACAAAATATAATTTTAATAAATTAAATTATTCTTTTATTTATATTTTTTTTTATATAGATAATATTATAATGTTTGATTAAAAATATAAAATAAGTTTTTCTCACCAAAAACAAACTTTATAAAAATAATAGCAATGGGTGTTAAATCTAACATTATAAATAAAATTTTGTAATTCTCATGATTTAGTCAATAGAATCATATATTTAACATTATTTGCAATATTATTAACTTTTATAAACAACGTGTGTAATGTTCAAATCATTTCACACATTAACCATCCAATATAATCCATTTTATACATATTAAAAATACAAAAGATAAAATCCTTTTTCAAATGTGATATGAAATGAATAGACACGGTCAGTTGAGGAATAATGATTACTGAACATTTAATGCAAGGATTTTTTTCAAGATTACAGTAAAAATTCTGACACATAACTTAGCCGAATGTTTCTTTATCCTATTCTGTTCTTATGCACGACTCACCACAATGAAGGATCATAATTTTCGCTTTTACAGTAAAATCTTGTCATTTCAATCGGTGGGGTTTTCTTGTTTTACTCTTTCAATTACTTAATTTATAAATTGATTATAAAATAAAATAAATAATATGGAAACATAATAATATTAATTGAAAAACAACAATTTTAGTTATTAAAAATATCTGCAATACAATTAAAATAATTACAAATATATATAAAAAATAATTAATGTTCTAAGTGTCTTCTAGTATCAAAAGGACATGTCATGCATTAAGTTAAGGTAGGAGTCTTGTTTATGTTTGATGAACTAATTCTTGTAGTTGATGAACTAATTCTTGTAGTTGATAGTTGATAATTATTAGTTAATAGATGATAATTGGTAAATTAATTTGAATATTTGATAAATTAATTACTATATTAATTAATAAATATAAAATAACATAAAAAGATATTTTTAATTTATAAATTGATAGTTTCATTATATTATTATATTATATAATTAAATTTATTTTTATAAAATAAAAAATAAATATATTAGCAAACACATACAAAAAGAATTAATATATATATTAAAATTAAAAATAACAATAAAATATATCAAATAATTATATATAAAATTTTAAATGAGTTTATATAATAAAATTTATATATAAATTTAATGAGATATAAATAATATTATTATGTTTTTGAATTCAATTATATTAATATAAAATAAATTAAATTATAGTTTTAGTCCCTCTATTTTGTCTGACTCACGAAATTAATTCTTCTATTTTAAATTCAAACGGTTTTGTCTTTCTATTTTAAATTCAAACAATTTAAGTCTCTCTCTCATATTTTTTCATAAAAATTGATGAGATTTTTTGTTTTTTAACTTATATTTTTATCTATAAAATTTAATAATATGTTTATATACAATGATTTATAATATTTTATAAGTAATTTGTCGTTTTAAAAGTGAAAATATCATTAATTTTAAATGTAAAAATATGAAAGAGATCAAAGTTGTTTAAATCTAAAATAGAGAGATCAAAATTGTAATTAAACTTATAGAATAATAATAAAATAAATTTACTGTCTATTTTACAATAAAATTTTAATATTATTACGAATCCTCGTCGTCTTGATAATCTTCTAATGTTTCACAAATTTAGAAATTAGCAACATTATCTCTAAATTCAAAACAAAGTATGTAATTTAAATGTTGTTAAAAAATATTAAATATTATATTTTCTTGTTAATCTACACGAATATAATTATATAACGCAAAAACTATATATATATATATATATATATATATATATATATATATATATATATATATATATATATATATATATATATATATATATATATATATATATATATATATATATATATATATATATATATTTTGAAAGATAAAAATATATTTTTGTTAAAATAATAAAATTATAAATTGAAGAAAAAATTATAAGCTAAAACCTACAATTTCAAAAAATTACTTTAAATAACTTTTAAAAAAAAAGTTAAAA